CTAAAACAGCTGTGCACTGTAAATTTTTGCATTGACTTGGGACTATTTCAGCTGCAAATTAGTAGTAGTGAGTATTTCTAGGAGCAGGATTTGATTAATTAAAAATTATAAATCAAAAACAACAGTGCCCTTGTTCCTCATATCATTGTCATGCCACCAAGTACAAAGCTGTGGATCATTCGTGTGTTTTTTGGTCAACAATGGAGCTCTATGGCACAGAGGAATAAAATATATCAGGCTCTAGTCAGTAGGATCAGTTAACTGTTGTAATAAAAACATATAGAATACAACCAGACTAATCCTTTAGTTAAAATAATGTCAGATTCTTTGCATTGGATGGACAGGAAAGATATTTGGATGTGGTGCTAATTCAGTTGAATGTATTGCAGGACAGCCCAGCAAATAATTGTTTGCCCTCCCTCCTACACACTCTATTATCACCAACACAGTCCACGGCACGCCTACACGCTTTCAATCTCTCATCCCCCAGATAAAACAAGTGTAAACAAGCCCATTATGCAACACTTCTGTGGGATTTAAAAGATGATTATGGCCACTGAATATATTCAAATATTCATTTTCACGTTGTGGTTGACATCATTTCCCATGAAAAAACATTTAAAATGTGCCCTTCAAAGGTGAAACAAAGTCACAAATTAGTCTGAATATGTTGGTAAGTAAAACTGCCATTAAGTGCTTTTATTCAATTCTAGACACGACTTTTTAATACTTTTGAAGTGTTTACTCCTCAATGTAATAAAGTTTCAGAGATTTTTCATTTAAAATAAAACAACTGATAAATGAATAAATAAAAAATAAATAAATAAAATTAAAATAGGTCTGTCTGAACACCAAAATGCCAGATGTCACTTTGAATTCTTTTGGTTCTGAAGCAGAGGAATGGTTGACTTCACCTGCTGCAGGTGGAGGTTTTAGTGTCTGCGCTCAGGTCAGTTTTGTAACAGCTGTTTGGGCATCTCTTCAGGTATTTACCTCTCATGTCTGCCCTTACTGGCCAGTTCTCTTGAGCCATATTACATCATAAAGGTTTTATACCAAATGTTTGTCATATTTCAATTGAATTTAATATGTGTGTCTTGTCTTGTCTATGCACGTCTCTACATGTGCCAGTGTATTATTTTATTACTTACTACTTCATCAGTGGTGGAAGTAGTCAAATCTTGTACTGTAAGAAATAGGACCACAAAGCAAAATATACTCTGTTAGTAAAGTAAAAGTAAAGTAAAGTAAAAACCCTACATTCAAAACTTGACCGAAGCAGTATTACCAGCAAAATGTACTTGGAGCTATGTATAAGATATGGCAAGAATAATAGTTCATGAATGTTAAAATCAGATGAACATGAAGAAGTAACAGCTACGAAGTTATGTCAAGATGTCTGTGTTGTGTTGCAGAGATAGGTAGGTAGGTATGGAGAAATAATCTCCTCTAGACACGCTGGGTTCTTCTCGGATCTGGAGCCGCTAACTGACAGGAGAAGCTCAGAGTTAGTGAGAGAGAAGTGTCCTTACTCTCACTTCTCAACCTGTTTGCAGATGCACTGTTGTCGCCGTCTGTGGGCACTCAGAGTTCTACAATACTACTTTACATTTATATGGAGACAAAAAAGAAGTTTGACTACCTGGTAAATGTTTTTACTTCACTATGAGCAAAGTAAAGCCCTGATTAATCTGATCTCACAAAACAAGCAAATATAGGCACTTTATGTAGTTTTTCTACCTTAAAATTACAACTTTGTTGTAATTGACTTGCATTATTATTATTACAACTTTGTTGTAATTTTAATGCTACAGTGACTGTAATAGTGTGAATGCCTGTTCTTTTACTCTTATGTCCTGGTCTGCCTCAAATCTTGATGATTTATTGCTTTGCCTGATGCACAGATAGTTTTATTTGTTGCTAAAAGAAAACTGCAAAAGGTAGTTGCTATTAGCTTACTACCTGATTTCAGATCTGGTATAAAAGCATAAAGCAGCATAGAATAGAAAGTATTCAATTAAAGAAACCTCTGAGGTTATTCAAGTGAATGTACGCTATATCACCATTTCACATGTACATCAGAGGTCACGTGACTTTACCGTATGTCACAGGTGTGAATACAGTATTTGATGAGATGTAAACCATGTTTTGTTATTTTAAATTTCCTGATTTAAAAAGAAATCTCTGTCTTTTCTAGTGTCCGCTGAGATTTGATTTGCCTTTACATAATCTGTGACTAGATAAGAGGAACAAACATTTGTCAGCATAGATAACTCCTACACACTCTCAAACATACATTATGATAAAATATGTAGTGAACTCCATAATTCTCATAATCTCACTTATATACTTGAAACCATGACACATAATTTTCCTTCAGTACATCTATATTTTGTAATTTAAATTCTCCTGCTGTCGTGCTCTTGCTACATTTACACAATTACACTGAATGCATTCACCATCGTCCTGGGTTATGTGTAAAAGTATTTTAAGCTTATTTCTTTGAAATTGCTAGCATTAAAAGTAGCTAATAGTAAGGAGTTAAGTCATCATGCCCTGATAATAATGCAAGTCATATTCCTGAGTTTCTAGGCTGGTCATGACTAAATTTACCCCCTCTGCACCTAATTTCTTCTATTAGTCATCGTCACTGCAGTCAGAGTGGTGATGAATCCCTTAATAAGTAAATAAGGGTTTTTCTTTTGAACAGAAGATGATAGCAGAGTCAAGTAGAGTGGGAAGATAGGAGAATGATTAGTAGCATGGGGGAGAGTTAATTTATTACAGAAGTGCCTCTTAAGAGTTGAGCTGCCAGGATATGAAGGTTACACTAGTCTCTATTGTCCAGATTGGGGTAGGAAGGTACCAAACAAGATGGTAGGTAATGAGGGTGAATGAAGATGCGAGTAATGGAGGGCCATGCTTGAAGAAGTGTCAGACACAAAGTGATCTGACTACAACCACATTTAGTTGTGCACTAGTCAATAGGACAATTTCACAAAACTGACACGTTCAACTTCTTATTATGTTTCAGGTCAAACTGACCTGTTTCACTCGAGAAAGTATTAAAGACATTTCCTTCAGACACAGATCATTTATTTCCTTGCTTGCTTTGTTGTAATGAACATGTGAAAAAAAAATTAGGCATAGCTGAGCAATTTTCTATAATCTGAATAATGTTCTGGTCAATTTGACGATGTTGCAGACATTGAGGCTAAGCCAGAACATGGACAACAGTGGTGGAGGAAGTTGTCGAGCTGAAGAAGGAGGTTTGGTTGGTCATGAGGTTTTCCTGAAGCAACAGACAGGTGCTGAGGGGCCAGAAGCAAAAACCCAGGTATGGGAGTAGTTCGGGGAGGCTATGGAAAAGGACTTTTAGTTGGCCTCAAGGAAGTTCTGGTAAACCATTTGGAGGACTCAGGAAGGGAAATCAAGGCTTGGTTCAGGCTGTGCTCACTCAGGGAGGAGACTTTAAGGAGCTCTTGAATCCTGTGTGATGGGGTGAGTGTGAGTTAGAGAAAAATATTTGCTTTTAATTTATTCAGGGTTTTATCATCAGGGT